AAATAGGGGACAGGGAAGGAAAAAATGCTTTACTTATTGGGCTTCCATGAATGAAGAAATGTATCTTTTCTGTCTTGTGATAAACCAAGCATGGCAGTAAATATCTGTCTTAACTTTACTTTCAGGCATCTCAAGTAACTCCACCACCAGTAATAAGGCTGAAGAAAAGATCCATTGGAGCTTCACTGAATCCTTTTTCTGTGCACACCCCCAAGGTAAAGTGTGTGAAAATAAATACCTTCAGTCTTGATTTAGAGTGTTGCTTTAAACTTATTTTGTCGCTTTTCTTTGTGAAGGTAATGCTTTAGGAATTTATTGTTTTAAATTAGGTCTTCCATTCAATATATAGTTTCATATATTTTGAAAATAGCACATGCCCGCTTTTTTCATAGTAAATTTTGTAGTAACTAGTATGTGTTTATTATAGGTATTATAAGTGTGCTAAATGCCATAATTTTCCTTCTAGAAACAAGTCTTTTTTCTTTTTTTTTGGTTATCTTTTGTAAGTAAAATAAATGAAGCTTTTACATTAATAATATATACATAGGCATGGTAGGTCAGGGTAGTTCAGTTGTATATGTTTATTATACAAGCCTAACTGACAAACATTTAAAACGTTTGCAGGCAGTTCCTTCAGGAAAAACGGCTCCCCCTGTCTTCAGGAAAGAGCCTCCTTTAACTCCTATTCCTGTAAAACGTGCTGAATTTTCTGGTAAGTCTAATGTAAGGCAGAAGTACCAGGGTTGCTATCAGAAATGGAGTCCCTGTGATAGAAAAAGGGAAGGCTATTTCAGAGGTGTTACGGTGTCAAGTTTAAATGTGAAAGATTTTAATTCATAGCAGTAAAAGTTAAAAACATCCATTTTGGGCCAGTAGGTAGCATGGACGTTAAGGCACTGGATCCCACATGGCCAGCTGCATGGTTCAAGTCTTGGACCTAGCGTCTTGAAAATCACTGGGCACATGCCCAAAATCCTGAGAGGAGACGAGAAGAGAAGGGGTTGCAGCGTGGCCATCTCCCTGGGGGGTGATTTTTCTCTTCCCCCCCTCTCTGTCTGTCTCTGGCGAGTACACACACCCTATAGCAAAAACTAAACACAGCAAGGCAAAAAAAAAAAAATAAATAAAAACAATCCCATTTGGAGATGAATGAAAACTGCAAATATAGTTTGGGAAAAGGAGTGGGCTGCCATTTCAATGTTGGGCAAGCCTTTGTGCCACATGCAACTAGTATGTGTCAGGAATGTGTGATGGTATGGTGCCCACAGGAGAGCTGGTACAGACTGAACACATAGAAGACGAGCAGGAATCAGGGATGATGGAGTTTGAAGATGGGGACTTTGATGAGCCCATGGATGCTGAGGAGGTGGACATGGAACCAGTGGCTGCCAAGACTTGGGACCAAGAGAATGAGCCAGCAGAGGGGGTGAAACACGAAGCAGATCCCGGGAAAGGGACCACATCCTACTTGTAAGAGCTTTTTATGACTTCTCTGACAAATAGCTCTACAGTTGGAATGTTAGATTTTGAAAGGTTTTTGAAAATGTGATTTCTGCAGAGAAAGTTTTCTCCCAGATGTCTCTTGTTGGGATATTGGTCAGGAAGATGACAGTAATTTCTCAACTCAGGAAGTTAAAGTGGATTCCAGTCACCTCCCATTGGTAAAAGGGACAGATGGGGACCAAGTGTTCCAGTTCTATTGGCTGGATGCTTATGAAGATCAGTACAACCAACCAGGTAATCATACCTAAGGTAACTATATGCCTGTATACAAAGTAGCAACTTTTTCCTCAGTGCTTGGGTGATTGTGGGCGCAGGCCTGCCTCACATGCATCAGAAGGGTATTTCTGAGGTTGGCAGGTGGCATGGTAGTTAAAGGCGCTGTATTCCCAGATGGCCGACCACGGTTCGAGTCCTGGCCTGGTGACTTGCTTGCTCGCTTGCTTGCTGTCTCTCCCCCTCTCTGGTAAAATTTAAATAAATAAATAAATAAATAAATAAATAAAGTTAAATAAAATAATTCTTAAAAAAAAAAAGATAGTCCTCATTTTTTGTAAAGTGCATGAGCCACCCTGATGGAGAGGAGGTATGGTGTGAATAATCCTTAAAGATCCTTATTCCAAAAATCAGTTATAGGTGGTCTTGAAATGTGTGTTTGTAGTTCACATTGATGTGTCTGGAGTTCTAAGAAATGTACTTTAAGTGGAATCAGTCATTAATTTGAATGCCCGTTGGGTGCCGGGCACTGAAGGGAGGTAAACAAGCTGGACAAATTCCCTACACTGTAATGGAGCTTACATTCTGTTGGCGTGAGAGTGGGTGAGTGGAAGTTAGAAGTAAATAAGATAGGTTGATAAATGATGTGAAGGAAATGATTTGGATCCAGTGGTGTATGTAACACACTATACTCCACGAGGCTGACCGACATGGGAATGTTCCAGGTTCATGTCCAGGGACCTCCCTGAATAAATATGTCAGGTATATGCAGAATGCCCATGATTTGACTAATGTTGAGTGGGTGGATTGTAGTGTGGGAACCTTGTTAGGGGTTCTGCATGTGTGTTTCCCTCTCTCTCCCCCCCTCCACCCCCTCTCCCTTGCTGGTGGAAGAAAAATAAACTAAAAAAAAAATATCTTTATTAAAAAGAAATGATGCGGGGGACCAGCAGGTGACGTGGTGGTTAAGGTGCTGGACACTCCCACATGGCTGACCAGGGTTCAAGTCCTGAATCTGGTGGCTTGCTTTCTCACTTCCTCTCTCTCTCTCTCTTACCATCTGTCTCTCTCTGGTCAAATAAAAAAAATGAATGAATAAATAAAATTAAATAATTATTTAAAAAAAAGAAAGAAATAAATTAACGTCCCGGACCCGGTGGCTTAAAACTCAGGCTGGGCGCGTGTGCGTGCGTGCCCAAGATCCCGAGGGGATAATGGAGGAGAAGGGATTGCGGTGTGACCATCCCCCCTGGGGGGTGATTTCTCGCTTTCTGTCTCTATGTCTCTCTCTCTCTGTCTGGAGAGCACACATGCCCTATAGTGAAAACCTCTCAAAAAAAAAAAAAAAGAAATGAAAAATTATTTGGGCTAGCAGGTTGCATAGTGGTTAAGGTGATGGACTCCACCACAGCCAACTATGGTTTGAGTGCCAGACCGACTGCTTGAAACTCACGCCAGGCACGTGTGCATGTCTGCCTAAAATCCTGAGAGGAGAATGGAGAAGGGATTGTGGCATGGCCATTTCCCCCTGGGGGTTGATTTCTCACTTTCTGTCTTTGTCTCTCTGGTGAGTGTAGGCACCCTACAGAAACGAAAAATTGTGGGCTAGCCAGTGGTGATTAAGTTGGCTGGATTCCACATGGCCAACTGTGCAGTTCAAGTCCCAGACTCAGTGGCTTGGAAAATAAACCAGGCATGTGTATTGGCATGCCTAAAATCCTAAGAGGAGAATTGAGAACAGATTGCTGTGTGACAGTCCGCCATGGGGTGCTTTTTCACCCAACTCCCAGACCCCCCATCTCTTTCCTCTGTTGAGTATTTGTTCCCTCTAGCAAATTAAAAACAAACATTGAAGAAATTATTGCATCATTGGAAAAGTCACGGTACATTTTCAATAGAGAAATATAGAAAAATATGTCATGATTTTTCTGATGAACCAATAGTTGGAGGATGGCCAGGGAAGGCCTTTGAGGAGACCATCATTGTGCTGAGAATTTGCAGTATGTGCAGAGCTGAGAAAAGGGAATTTCAGCTTAAGGAATCAGTAAGCACAGGGCCTGGAGAGATGAAGGGGAGGGGGTCTGTGTAGTTGTAGTGTAGTAATCAAGTGACAAGATAGTATAAAATGAAGTTGGAGGTAAAAGCAAAAGCCAGGTAATGAAGGACCTTGAAAGCTGTGTTAAGGCTTTGATTATTATTCTGAGAGCAATAGGGAGGCATTGGAGGGTTTTACAGTGCAGAGGGCTGTGGTCACACAATTGGGTTTACGTTTTAATAAGAATACTAGTTTGTGTGGAGAATAGGCTGTGTGTCTGTGTGTCGTGGAGTGGGTGGGCTGGAATAAGGTAGTGGGCAAGTGTGGAAGCCCTGGAGATCAGTTAGTCCAGGACCAGGGCTCTGCTAGTGTGGGCCCTGGTGTCTGGATAGAAAAGACTTGAAGGCATTTAGCATATGTTCCCCCCCCCTTTGTTTGTTTGTTTATTTATTTATTGAGATTTTTGCTAATAGGGCATGTGTACTCCCCAGGAGAGACAGAAAGCAAGAAATCACCTCCTTGGGGGATGGCCTTGCCACAATCCCTTCACTTCCATTCTCCTCTCAGGAGTTTGAGCACGCATGAACACATCCCTGGCGTGAGTTTCAAGCCACTGGGTCCAGAACTCAAACTGTGGTCAGCCATGTGGGAGTCCAGCAATGTGACCATTACATGATCTGATGGTCCTTCTGTTTCTCTTTTTTCATGAAAGAAAGAGACAGACAGTGATAGGCACTCTCAACGGGGTCTCACATCATAGTCTTCCCTCTAGCCTTCCCAAGACAATGGGCCCACACACATAATGCCTGGCTCATACAGGTCAATTCAGGAACCAGACCCTGCATCATGTGACTCCACACTACCGTTGTGTCACTGCTGCTGGGCCTTAACATGCATTTTGATACAAACTTACTGATGTATTGGAAGAGGGGTGGGATGACTGGAAGGCGGGTGGTGTGATGGAAAGGAGGATTCGAGGAAGGATGTTTCTCACATCATCTTAATGAGCGAATAGTATGAATTCTTAACTCATGAAAAGCCAGGAGGCTGCCGGTTTCCTTTTGTGCCTCTTGGTGCCCTTTTTAATGGTGGAACTGGGTATGACAAGGTCTATCAGAGAATATAAGTTATGGTGTACACTCTTAAATAGGGTTGTCTTTATTTAGATATTCTTTTGGATCTGTGTTAGATGCAAACTGTATTTTCACCATGGTTTCCAGAGGGCTGCATGCCGTAAAAATGGAGGGAGTACTAGGATGTCAGTAAGGCAGGTATATGAGGAAGAAGAGTAAGTATTGAGCACTAGACTTGAATGCTAGGTTTTCCTTAAATATCATCAGGCATTGAGGGGCTAGCAGGTGGCGTGGTAGTTGGGGTACTGGACTCTCTCATGTCCAACTACTGTTTGAATCCCAGACCTGGTGGCTTGCTTTCTCACTTTTCCTTCCTCGCTTCCTCTCTTCCTCCCTCCCTCCCTCCCCTTTTCCCTGTCTCTGGTAAGCACATGCCCTATAGCAAATTTAAAAATAAATAAATAAAATAAAATAAAAAAATCAGGCATTGACTTCCAATGGGAAAGTGTTCATGGTCTTGATGGGGTGTGCAGGAGCATTAATACGCTTCATCTTATCAAATATGTGTAAACTCTTGTAACGCCCCTGGAGTCGCACCCTGCCAGTGTTTGTTTCTTAGGTAAAGAAATACTCAGTCCTAGAAATGCCCTGCGTTAGCCGAGGTGGGATGATTTGATGCCCTCCTAGCTTTTTGTTACTTTCTGCTGGAAAGTAAGCTGGCAAGCAGGAGTGCATGTGACTGAGCAAAGATTTCCTACCCATTGCTGAAACTCAGGGCTGCCCCATTGTACAGCTCAGCAGGGGCGAGGACACCTGACCTCCCTGCAGAACAGCAGTGCGTCTGGTACCGCTGCATAGACATGGGCATGATCGGCCGCTTTGCTGTATCTGCTCAGTACAGTGTTTTACTCTCTGATTTGGTTAATGGCCTCATCAAAACAAGAAACCTGGGCGCCAGCTTGATGCCTCTTTCCTCACTTCCCTCAACAAGTGTTGTTAGTTTCCTCCTCCTATGTCGATGACCTATCTTCTCTTTTTCCTCACAGCTACCACCCGCAATTCCTTCTTGCCTGCTGAAGCTATTGTGCTGCCCACTTAATTCATCTCTCAGTGGTCATCCTCCACATTACTGCCAGAGCGATTCATCAGAGGGCACCTCTGACCCTGTCATTTTCTCCTTTGAAAAACTAAGTCCTCAGTGATTACTGCCTGTAAAATAGAACCCAAGCTCCTTAGCAAGGCTTCTGGTACCTGCCATCTATGCATTTTGTGCCCTAGAAATAGTCCCCCGTGTGTACCTTGCTGCCTTACTCCCGTGTCCCTTTATTGTGTGTGTTTTTTATTTTTTTTTCTGACTGGAATGCTTATTCTTCAGCTCAGGTGTCATCTCCTGGGAGTTTTCTTCTGCCTCTAAATATTCCTCGGGGCGTTACTCCCTGTGACTTTATCATACCGTTTCTCATAGCATTGGTCATGTTATTTATTTTTATTATTATTTTTAAAAAATTATTTAATTAATTATATTTATTCATTCATTC